TGTGTGTGTGTATGCAAATTTCAAATTTTAAAAATTGCCAAAAAAAGTCCCTTGGGATACCTTTCTCCTGCAAACATAGTGTTTCCAGATGATGCACATCTTGTTCAATTGGCCTGCTTCATTCATGGAATTTTAAAGAGGATACAGATGACACGATCCATTTATGTTTTCTTTCCCACACTTTCGATCTCACAAAACTGTATCATTTTAAGGGAATTTTCACTAAACCTTCCCCATGTGAAGGACCTCATGGAAACATATCAAGTGCATATGTTCCTATGATTTTACCAATGTTTGTGATTCTGGAAGGAAAAAGCACTTTCCTTTTTACTATTTCCGCAAGTTGAGCTGAAGGGAGAAGGGCTGACGTCTATGTCAAGAGGTTCATTCTAACTCCTGGCAGCCCGTCAGTAATTCTTTTATTGGGGGTGGCTTGTAAAAGAAAGGATCTATTAATAGGGAGATCTCACATACATGCATGCTACAGCTTCAGTGTCTTCTTTCTTTCTCCCTTATAGAATACTAAAATTGTGCAGAGAAGCTCCCACTTCAGAATGCCAGGAGAAGATAGCAACCATGAGTGATCAGGACAAAGGAAGAGACATCTACCCCATTTGGTTACACTATGTCCACCATCTGGATGGAACAAAATGAGATAAACTCAATAATAACAACAAGAAATTCTAGGCTCTACAAAAGACTGGGCCAGCAGTGAGAATTTCACTTTTAGCTTATAGTAGATGAGCAACTGCAGTCTTCCCCTTCTGTGTAACTTAAGATCATCTGGAGAGGCCCTGCTTTTGACCCTACTGACATCGCAAACACGACTGGTGGGGACGAGGGACAGGGCCTTCTCATCAGTGGCCCCCCACCTGTGGAACGCTCTCCCCAGAGACATCAGAATGGCCACCTCCCTCCTGTCTTTTAGAAGAAAAATCAAGACCTGGTTTTGGGACCAAGCATTCGATTAGTGAGCAGCAAGTAAAAGAAGATTTTAACATTAATGGCAATGATTTGACCTGGAGTATTGTGATAGAGTCTGCTGGCAGTGATAGTAACACTAGTTGTATTAGGAGAGGCAGGAAAACTACTCGTGAGCAAGACTATGAGGAAGAGCAACAGAGGAAAAGAATCCGGGAGATACTTAGTGAACCAACAGATAAGGATTCTTTTGAAGGTTTTGATGCAAATGATATGGATGATGGGATATCAGACTCTGAGTCTGATGGGTTGGATTGGACAAGGGTTCAAGAGATTCGGGATATTTGTGCTGAACTCACAAGCAGTGGCATATTTGAAGGTTGGAGTAGTGAAGGCACGGATGGGTCTTGGGGAACTTCAGGATTAGACCAGAGATGGACTACCTGGAGGAGTGGTGGAAGAGGCACAGCTGGGGAAGGGTTGGGCCAAACTAGGGGTGACTCCAGTTCGTATGAGGAGTTACAACAGGATGCAGCTGGGACAAGGGTGTTGGCTGAATCAAGTTGTGATGAGGAGTTGTAGATAAAATGGGAGTGTTTGCAATTGTAACTTTGCAATCGGCAAGGTGTCTTGTTGGGCGCTTTCTGGATCGTTGTGCTACAGAAGACGGGTTTGGAAGAAGACTTTGGAACGTAAGTTATGCTCTGGGTTTGAGCAGAAAGGGGGCTGGAACTGTGTGGGTTTCTGCTGGACTGCACTGTTTTGATATTTGCATTAGCTGCCATATTGCCCCCATTGCTTTGGCTCCTTGTGACTTCCATTGGATTGGGACCTGACCTTGCAGCTATTCGTTTCCCTTTGGACTGGACTGGACTTCAAGTATCGGCGTTACTCTCCCTTCCACGACTGCGGCTGTGTTTCTGGAGTTGGCGTTATCATCCTCCCTGCATTCCTGCATTCCAGCCTTGGAGTTCAGCGTGGTGTTTCCTACAGTGTTTGAGGCTCGGGTTACATTTTGCAACCTTTAAAAGGCTGCTGCTCACTAGAGTGGCTGTGAACATCATTCTGCAGTTTGTTTTGCTTCTATTGTTTGTCTGAGCAAGTTAGAGCTGAATTAAGCATTTTGTCTTTAACACTGATTATATCTCTGGATAACCCAGGTTATAGTCCAGCTGGGGTTTTGTGGGTTCTTTTGCCTTTTTTGAACTGTTTCACACTGAAGACTAAGTGTTTTTTGCCCTGTGGTCTTGTTTTGAGCTGTTTTGCATTTGTTTGAGCAATAAACTATATTTCTTTAATTGGCTGGCATCTGACCTTGACATGGACTGTATTTTAGACTCTGATTTTAATAGGCGTATGTTAATCATTGTTGTAAACCGCAATGAGTCACCGACTTAGGCTGAGATATTAGCGGTATACAAGTGTATTAAATAAATTAAATAAATCAATTGTTTTAATTATTGTTTTAATATTTTAATAGTTTAATGTATTGTTGATTATTTTATTATGATGACACCGTTTGATGTTTGTGAGGTCGCCCTGAGTCTCTCCTCGGAGGTGAGAAGAGCGGGATATAAATAATAATAATAATAATAATAATAATAATAATAATTGGCAAACACATTTCAAACAGAAAGATGATAATGTGTCAAATGTAGTTCTTCTAGTATGTTACTTTCTTGCCTCTCAAACATCAGCCCAGAGCAAATTCAAGTCATACAGAAACACAATCCCAAAGTGCAAGTATACAAGGAGCCTATAGCTGGCAACAAGTCCATTTCCAGGCACAATTCAAGGTTCTGGCTATTGTTGCTATTGTCCTGCTTTCCTCTTTTAAAAGACACTCAAAATGGCTCACAGTACTGAAAACAATACAATGTACAATGTAAAACCTACAATTTATAAACACTAAAATAGAAATAAACACTGAACTATTAAAAATAAATAGTTCAGATCATTAAAACTATGAAAATACATAAAACATTACACAGCACCCTTGACTCGCTCTCATAGTAACTTTCTTTTTTAGAAGCTTTCCTGAATAACAAAGTTATAGCCTGCAGCCGGAAAGGCAGCAGAGAGGGGACCATTCTGGCCTCCCTAGGCAAGGAGTTCCTGAGCCACCAAGAAGGCCCTCTTTCACGTTCTCACAAACTGAACTTGCAATGATGGTAGGACTGAGAGAATGAATATATATATATTCATCACCTCAGTACGCATATATAACCCCTTGGGTTTGATGTGGATGTATGGGACTGGGTCCCCCCGTTATGATCTGGTCATTGACCATAATAAAGTTTACTTACTTACTTACTATTGTATTTATATTCACTTCTTCATTTGGTTTGACTGTTTTCCTCCTTATGATTTGGTGGTGTTTTGTACCTTTTTGAGAACTTTCTGCAGTTTGTAATTTCTGTAGTTTGTAATAACTGGGTCCCCTGTTATGATCTGGTCATCGACCGTAATAAAGTTTACTTCTTTACAAGATTGGCAGTTTTATCATGGATATTATTCAGTGCATCTATGCTAAAATAACAGATGTGCCTCAATAGCAGTTAATGAGGAGGGTACAAGGCAATATGATGGAACTGCCACTAAGAGACAAGTACATGGGACATGCCACCAACCCTCTGCATTGGGTGCTGCTTATTATCAGTCATGGCAGAAGGCAGCCAGAGCTAGTGCTACAGAGAGGTCAACCCTCCTGTTTAAGGAGCTCCATTGGCTGCCGTTTATTTTCCTATCCCAATTCAAGGTGCAGGTGGTTACCTACAAAACCCTAAATGGTTTGGGACCAGCCTACCTGCGTGACCGCATCTCCGTTTATGAACCCACGCGTTCTCTTCGCTCATCTGGAGGGGCCCTGCTCGCGATTCCACCTGCGCTGCAGGTGCGTTTGGTGGGGATGCGAGACAGGGCCTTTTCTGTGGTAGCCCCCTGACTTTGGAACACCCTCCCCAAAGACATCAGACAGGCCCCTATGTTGGCAGTCTTTAGGAAGAATTTGAAGACCTGGCTGTTCCAATGTGCCTTTCCAGAATAAGAAAACTCCAGCAACACGTCCCAGAAGCACTTTATTAGAGTTTAAGATTGCTTGCACACTGCACTTACCCTACCACCTGTCACACTCAGCACTTTTTAATCTATACCCATTACATTTGGCCCGGCCCTAGTTTTATTGTGTTTTGGTGTACTGTTTTTGTTGTTCTGATATTGCTTTAATTGTTTTTGATTTGCTTTAAGTTGTGTATTTGTTATGTTATTGTTTTATTGAAGCCTTGGCCTTTGTAAGCCACATCGAATACTTCGGGAGATGCTAGCGGGGTACAAATAAAGTTAATAATAATAATAATAATAATAATAATAACAACACATACATACATACATCCCCGTGCCACCTTGATTCGGCTGTCACAAAGTAACATCTTCAGTAGGATGTACCGTACTTCTATTCAAAATTTCATTGTTCTATTTTTTGTCCTTTGTCCACTAATATAGCCACATGGTTGCATAAAAGGATGTCTCTGCTCTAAGGGTCTTTCATTTATGAGAATGCCACAGCTGAAGCTTCCATAGAAATACACTGGGATTAGATTAAGCAACATGACCAATTGCAATCTGTTTTTTTTTATAGAACAAACAAACACCCCATTTGCCACTGTCATCCACCATCATGATGGACCCATTTGAGGAAAGAAGAGCACTATGCCAGATCTTTGCATTGTACTTTAGACAACTCAATGCAACCCCTTTTATAGACAGAGTTCTATGCAGTTTTCCCCTTATTCTTGCTCTCTGAAGTGACATTTGAAAATTAAATTTAGAATAAGAAACATATTTGTCAAAAGTTCAGAAATAAATATAATCTCACCAGGATTACTGCAGCAATCAAAATCTGGCGGAATTTGCTGCAGGAATGACTGGCTGGAATTGTTATGGTTATGACACTGCTGCAGTTTTGTGTGATTGTTCCAAAGTTTCCGACTTCATAGGTCACTATTTCAACATCTTTTTTTAAATATATTGGGTTACTGATAAAACTGGGATTACTTTTTCTTTCGTTTCTTGGTACTTACGGGCAATCCAAGCGGACCTCGGTCTCCTTTTTCTCCCATAGCACCCTTTTCACCTTTCATTCCATCAATGCCTGCTTCTCCCTAAAGGAAACATACATCAAGAGATACCCCAAGACATCTTACGCAGTTCATCCACCCAGTGTCATCCAGAATAAGGAATGAGTGACCAGGATAGCATGGTTGGGAAAAGAACTTTCTGGACTACAGATGTTCCAAATCTAGTCAGCCAATGGCCTAAAGAGACTATTTATTTATTTATTTATAATTCAAACTTATATGCCGCCACTCCCCTGGGGCTCGGAGCAGTTTACAACAACAGGCTAAAATCTAACACAATTTAAAAATAACAATATCAGAGATCAAAGGCCTGTCGAAACAGATATTAGGCCTGGGTAACAACGGAAAAATTTGTTTCTAAACTTGTTTTGTTTTTAGGGGTCCAGCACGTTTCGTTTTTTTAAAGAATTCCAAAATTTTCCTTTTAAAAATTTCGAAATTTATGAAATTTCGTATAATTACGAATCGATTCGTTAATGGCGGACGCGATTGCGCAATATGCTAAAAAAAACCTCCAAATGGGACAGGGGGAACTTCTGAAGCTTCCCTCTCCCTCTGTTGTTGACTGTTGGTGTGATAAAACAAACAACAACTATAAAACTTGCACCAGACATGCGAAAATAATTACGAAATAATTACGAAATAATTTCGAAATAATTTCGAAATAATAACAAAATAATTACGAAATAATTACGAAATAAATTGAAAAAATTGTTTCGAATCTAATTACTCCTCACACTATTCCTGCATGGCTCAATATTGGATCGTAAGCTAATTTAAATACGAATTAATAACGAATTACGAAATTAACGAACGAAACCGCCCAAGCCTAACAGATATGTCTTACATGCCCTGCAAAAAGCTGATAGGTCACACAAGGCACAGACTTCAGTTGACAGAGTATTCCAGAGCGATGGTGCCACTGCTGTAAAGGCTCTGCATCTGGTTGCTGTTAGACGCAAGGTCTTGACACTGGGAATTTCCAATAGATCTTGGTCCTCAGAACGGAGGGATCTCTGGGGTTGGTAGGGGGTGAGGAGGCCCCTCAGGTACATCAGCCCCAGACCATGCAAGGCCTTAAAGGTAAGTACCATCACTTTAAAAGTGATCCGGTGCTCAATTGGTAACCAATGCAGCTGTTATGTGGCATCTCATCGGAATTTCCGCAAGAAGCTGAGCAGCTGCATTTTGTACCAACTTGAGCTTCCGGATCACCGACAGAGGAAGGCCAATGTAGAGGGCATTACAGTAGTCCAGTCTTGAGACAACCGTAGCCTGGATCACCGTAGCTAGGTCGTCCCTGGACAAGTAGGGAGCCAGCCGTCTAGCCTGCTGCAGATGAAAAAAGGCGGATTTGCTAACGGCGGAGACCTGAGCCTCCATTATCAGCAGAGGATTCAAAAGGACTCCCAGACTCTTTACCAATGATGACGAGCGTAGTGCCTCGCCATCCAGGGTAGGCAGCTGGATATCCCCACTGCCCGGTTGACCCAGCCATAGGATCTCCGTCTTTGCTGGATTCACCCTCAACCTGCTGGCACGCAGCCATCCAGTAACGGCCTCGAGGCACTGATGGAAATAATCGGGTACAGAGTCTGGTCTGCCCTCCATCCTCAGCACCAACTGAGTGTCATCAGCGTACTGGTAACACTCCAGCCCAAAACCTCGAACCAGCTTACTTTTTTTCAGTTATTTTTGTTTGGTTTGTAATTTACAAATTACAAACCAAACAAAAGTAACTGAGCCATGTGATCTCTGATCTTTCACTAAGTTCATTGGAATGAAGGAGTTTTGAGCTCAATCGGATAAAGATTAAATTACAAAATCATTGGTCATTTTGAGCTGAGAATGGTTGGCGGAAGAGGAGGCACTGAATTAATTTTCTGCATATTATTTCCATAAGCTGCTCTGAGTCCCCTTCGGGGTGAGAAGGGCGGCATAAAATAAATAAATAAATAAATAAATATATAAATGCCGCTAATAATTAATAAATAAATAACAAATAGTCCAAAATATCAACCAAGAAAACAATTATTTTAAAAAGAAACACAAAAGTGGGTTCATAATGCATGCACTGACACAAAATGAGTATAAGAGTCACAGAGATTTAATTAAGCTCACTGCAAGCTCAATTTATTCATGTCTAAAACATCCAAACCTATGATTTGATCTCCAGAGCATTATCTTACAAATTTTACATGGGAGTGTCTATATTGATACGATGTGATTGCCCTTCATTCTTACCTTAGGTCCCGGAAGACCTTGAGGACCCTATATTTGAAACAAACAACAAGAAGAGGCAATAGATTATGCTTGCATCTTATATTTCTGGGTTCCAAGTACACACAGTTCATATATTACTGGCATTTTCTATTTATTCTATATTTTCTAGCTGATAATTTGAATTGTATTATGCAAGTGTAGAGACATCACACTGGCAACAAAGATCCGCATAGTTAAAGCAATGGTATTCCCCGTAGTCACCTACGGATGTGAGAGCTGGACCTTAGGGAAGGCTGAGCGAAGGAAGACAGATGCTTTTGAACTGTGGTGTTGGAGGAAAGTTCTGAGAGTGCCTTGGACCGCAAGAAGATCCAACCAGTCCATACTTCAGGAAATAAAGCGACTGCTCATGGAGGGAAGGATAGTAGAGGCAAAGATGAAGTACTTTGGCCACATCATGAGAAGACAGGAAAGCTTAGAGAAGACAATGATGATGGGGAAAATGGAAGGAAAAAGGAAGAGGGGCTGACCAAGGGCAAGATGAATGGATGGCATCCTGGAAGTGACTGGATTGACCTTGAAGGAGCTGGGGGTGGTGATGGCTGGCAAGGAGTTATGGCGTGGGCTTTATTTCCTGAAGTATGGACTGGTTGGATCTTCTCGCTGTCCAAGGCACTCTCAGAACTTTCCTCCAACACCACAGTTCAAAAGCATCTATCTTCCTTCGCTCAGCCTTCCCTATGGTCCAGCTCTCACATCCGTAGGTGACTATGGGGAATACAATTGCTTTAACTATGCGGATCTTCATTGCCAGTTTGATGTCTCTACTCTTCACTATTTTATCCAGATTGGACATTGGAGCATGTGAAACTTTAGATACTGAATCCATGGATAAAGGGAGTTGTACTGTACTTTGGTTACTACAAAATAAATGCTTTCAGTTAAGCCATAGACAACAAATGAGTTTTAAAGGCTCTATTAAATGCCATGATGGAAGGGCTCAACTCAGAAGGGAGTTCTACAGCAGGACTTGAGCTATTTTTATATGGGGTGGTGCTGGTTCCATTGTGCCAGGAACCAGTACCACACTTCTACCCATAGGCTAAAATTGCTTTCTTTTCTTTCCTGGAAACTCTCTAAGGACCAGCAGTGAATGGTTTGAGAACTAGCATCAATCTAAGGATTGCCACTTTCAATAGAACTGTGCTACAAGTTTCCACAGTGAAGGCCCATCAACAGTACATTAATTTTACATTCACCATAGTGAATAGGGCCTCTTTGTTGTTTATTCGTTCAGTCGCTTCTGACTCTTTGTGACCTCATGTACCATCCCATGCCAGAGCTCCCTGTCAGCTGTCACCACCCCCAGCTCCTTCAAAGTTAAGCCAGTCACTTCAAGGATACCATCCACCCATCTTGCTCTTGGTCAGCCCCTCTTCCTTTTTCCTTCCATTTTCCCAAGTATCATTGTCTTCTCTAAACTTTCCTTTCTTCTCATGATGTGGCCAAAGTACTTCATCTTGGCCTCTACTATTATTCCCTCCAATGAGCAGTCAGGCTTTATTTCCTGAAGTATATCTTCTCATGATGTGGTCAAAGTACTCCTAAATATAACATTTAAGGTGTGGGACTACAAGATAACAAGACTGACCAGGGGGAAACTCAAAGAGTTATCATGCATTATTCTGTGCCTTATAATACAAATAGAACTTACTGGTGTTCCTGGTGGGCCTTGTGGCCCTGGTGGGCCAGTTACCTAAAAACCCAAAACAGAGAACCAAACATCATTGCTGGAGAAAATAATTTTAGATTGATGTTAATAACAAATTATAATCTGTGTAATGCTATCTGCTATGTCAGTGCTTAAGGTGGTTGATCCATTGCTTTTAGAAGAGTGAGACCTTACCGCGTTTCCAGTCTTTCCCTTCTCTCCAGGTTCTCCCTTCTCTCCCTGTAAGAACAACAAACATTATGGCATAAATCAGATTATTAATAGTTCTTTCTTATGACAGGAGAGTAAAATTCCTGTCCATGGGTTCACAAACTTCTGTCTGGGGCAAATGGTCTCTCTTGGAATTAGCAAGGTCTCTTAGTCATTCTATGGTATGCTCCCCCTCCCAGCAGCTACCATAGAGTCACCCCGGAGAACCTAGTAATTCCTAGAGGGGATACCTCTCTAGGAATATCTCGGTTCTCCAGGGTGACTCTATGTTATACTGGGACTAGAAGTCAGAAAATGTAATGGTGTTTCATCGTAACTGCAGTCCAGCTGGAAATGTATCCCCGCAACAAGAGGGGTCTTACACTATTAACAAGTTTGAGATAGTGAATGGTTTAGAAGACATCTTTTAGGGAGTAAATAGGATGGATGTCATCATTGCCCTCCTTGCCCATAAATACCACTAAATGCCTAAATTAGCACTGCTAGAATGCCCCATTCTTGCTAGGAGGGCTCCTTCCATTTCTCCATAAAGCCCTTGCTATCTGTGTCTCTGTTCGTGTTGGAGCTCAGCCTGTGATTGTGTTTCGGGATCAGGGTGCTTTGGTTGTGAGGAATGATGTCAATGAGTTTCAAGATGGCAATGGCTTGGTCAGTGATATTGATGCAGAGAATGACCAGGAGATCCCTGTTCAAAATGTAGTTTCCCATGAGAATGTCCCTGAAGGATGTGGGGATGATGGTGTGCTCCTTGAATTGCTACCAGAGAGTTCCCATGATTTGGAGCTGGAAACAGCTCAGCACCAAGTGCAGAAATTAATGAGCAAATAGAGAGACAGGAGATTAGTCAAAATAGAAAAGCCGAAGAGCGGCTTTGGTGTTCTGTCAGGCTCTGAGAGAAAAAGATAAGAGATTCTAACGTAAAGCGAAACCAATTTCTGAGCGCTTGGGACATAGCTAACGAAGAGATAAAAGTCCCAAGTACAGGATATGTAGTCAGATAAAGCATTGTTTGGAATTGTTCCAGTGTGCCTTCCCAGAATAAGGAAACTCTAAGCATTATGTCCCCAACGCACTTTATCAGAGATTCAGGATATCTGCATACCCATCCCTCTCCAAAACCCTTTTCACCTGATCATGCTCAGCACTTTTTAATTTTAATTATTACATTTGGCCCTGCCATAGATTTTAAATTGTGTCATTGTGTGTTGTTAATATTATTGCCTTGTTTTTTATTTTAATTTGCTGTATTGTTGTTGTTGTTGTTGTTGTTGTTTTTTATTGTTGTAATTGGGCTCGGCCTCTTGTAAGCTGCACCGAGTCCTTCGGGAGATGGTAGCGGGGTACAAATAAAGGTTTATCATATTATTAAGTCAAGTTCTCGTCCTTGTTTCGTGGAAGCCTTGTTTGGGAGATTCATGTTTAAGTGCCTTTTGTGTCATGGTTTGATTCTTGGATTCTATGATTTTATATTCATGCCTTGGATTCATGTTTCCTGGTTTCTTGGATTTTATTAGAGAAGTTTTGACTTTGTTTTCATGGACTTTGCTGGACTATTTTCCCTGGACTGGCTTATCTTCTTACCTAATTGGATTTACCTATTTCTTTAAAGTGCTTTTTTACTTTACTCCTTTTTAATTATCTTCAATAAAAGGATTGTTTTCCTATTCAACGGTGTGGTGTTTAAAGTCAGAGGGCTTTTCCTGTTCTGTAGTGCAACAGTTCAGCAGATTTCACCTCACTTTCTGTCCCTGTGATAATTGGGTTTTGAAAAATTTGGAAACAAGGATTGGTGATAAAACTTCAGTAGAGACACCTTTTCCCCACGATACCTCTTCAAGGAGTGAATTTCCCTTCCTAGGAGGAAGTTTCCTCTCACTTCCTGCTCTCACCCCCATTCTTAACTATGAGTTGTTTGTAAGCTGGATGTTTGTAACTCGGGGACTGCCTGTAATGAGGAACAACATTATAATGATGGAAGCATAGAGGTGGCACCTGTGCTCCTGCAAAGTTTACCTTAACTTTTAAAGTATGTTCAAAAACAAAACATTATATGAAAACTCTTAGGAAGCATAAATTATGTATTCTTCAAAAAATACTTCTCTCTATATATTTGACCAGAAGTGCATATATAAACACATCTAATTTTCTCTCTACCTGGAGTAATAATCTGCAGTCTTAGTTCAAAGATGCGGCATGCCGCATTATCACGGGGTGTCTGCGCCCTACACCACTGGAGAAATTACACTGCTTAGCCGGTATTGCACCACCTGATATCCGCCGGGAAGTAGCAGCCAATAGTGAAAGGACCAAGGCAGAGACATCTCCAGCTCATCCCCTGTTTGGGTATCAGCCAGCACGTCAACGACTTAAATCAAGAAATAGTTTTCTAAGATCTACAGAGACACTCGCTGGAACACCTCAGCAAGCGAGAGTCAAAAAGTGGCAGGCTCAAACCCAGAACCTCAACCAATGGCTGATACCAAATGAGAGACTCCCCCCTGGGCACACAGAGGACTGGGTGACTTGGAAGGCGCTGAACAGACTGCACTCTGGCACCACGAGATGCAGAGCCAACCTTCAGAAATGGGGCTACAAAGTGGAATCCTCGACATGCGAGTGTGGAGAGGAGCAAACCACTGACCACCTGCTGCAATGCAACCTGAGCCCTGCCACATGCACAATGGAGGACCTTCTTGCAGCAACACCAGAAGCACTCCAAGTGGCCAGATACTGGTCAAAGGACATTTAATCAACTACCAAACTCACAAATTTTGTATTTTGTCTGTTTGTTTGCTTTGTACTGTTAGAAATGTAATATAATTTGACTGGTTGTCCTGACACGACAAATAAAAAAAAAATAAAGTTCAAAGATATAGAAAAGAGCAATGACATTGCCAAAGCTATTTTTTTCTAGCAAGCAGCACTAAGCTTGAGTAGCATAGTGACTATGGCAAGAATTGTGGTATGAGCAGTTCTCAGTTTGAATGTCACCACAGCCACAAATTTACTTAATGGCCATCTGCTTCGGCCACTCTCTCAAGCGGAGAAAGAACTCAAGGCAAACTATTATTTAGTAATATGTAGATTTTTTGAAGGGATTTACTTCTGTGAAATTTTTTGGATAAAACAATGTTTGAATGGCTTACTGTAAAACCCGGAAGCCCAATTGGACCCGGTAGGCCTGGAGGTCCTGGCATTCCTCGATCACCTTTTTCTCCTGTTATGCCATCAAGACCCTATGAGGAAAAAAATATCCATTTGTAAACACTAAACTATGTTGTACAGAAATATGTGGTTGTTATTTGCTTTATTGGGCCATTTATTGGCATCGAGGGACGTAGGAAGCTGGCATTAGTGCTGAAAAGAAGGCTTTCGTAGACTTTCTTTGCGAAATTTCCAATCTATCATAGTCCTCTTACATATTTCTTGCCGTGACTCTAATTGAAAGGTATAGCAGATTACAAGCACGTCTTGTGTGTACATCAAGGCCCATTAAACTGTAGCATGGATCATTGATTCAGCAGCAGCAGCAGCAGACACAAATGCATAGGCAATGACAAGAAAGAGCATAGTTCAAGAATGCAGTGGAGCAGTGTGTGTGTTTCTGAGTGTAGGCATAAAAATGATAAAGGGATGATACTCCCTAATAGCATCATTTAAGTGTCTACATGGGACTCAAAACAACCAGGGATGTGCTGCTGTTTGCTTGCAGTTTCTTCAATTGGCCTCTTGTAAAATTCCCTTGAAACTGATAGACCAGTGACCTAGAAAAGCTTCTCCCCACTTGCACACCATTGTCTCCAAGTCCTGGCAATACTAGATGCACATATAATTCAATTATACACGTGTAGATTGGACTACTGTAATGCGCTCTAATGTGTGGCTGCCCTTGAAAACGGCTCAGAAATTTCAGTTAGTCCAACGCACGGCGGCCAGGATGTTTAACTGGTGCTCCTTACAGAGAGAGGTCAACCTTCCTGTTCAAGGCAGCCTTCCTGTCCACTGGCTGCCGTTCATTTTCCGGTCCCAATTCAAGGTGCAGGTGCTCACCTACAAAGCCCTAAACGGTTTGGGACCTGCCTACCAGCGTGACCACATCTCCGTTTATGAACCTGCACGCTACCTTCGTTCATCCGGAGAGACCCCGCTCACGATCCCACCTGCGTCGCAAGCACAGTTGGTGGGGACGAGGGACAGGGCCTTCTCTGTGGTAGCCCCCCAACTCTGGAACACCYTCCCCAAGGACACCAGACAAGCCCCTACGTTGGCAGTCTTTAGGAAGAGCTTGAAGACCTGGCTATTCCGGTGTGCCTTTCCAGAATAGAAAACTCCAGTAACACGTCCCAGAAGCACTTTATTAGAGATTAAGACTGTCCGCACATTGCAGTTAWCCAAAAATCCTTATATCTCACTCAGAGGCKGCCCTAGGTAATTTTCAAAGGTAAGCTAACAGTATTTTGCCCCCTCCCCCACCAAACACTGATATATATTTTCTGTTCATCGTGGGAGTTCTGTGTGCCATATTTGGTTCAATTTCATAATTGGTGGAGTTCAGAATGCTCTTTGATTATAGGTGAACTATACATCCCAGTAACTACAACTTGMATATGTCAAGGTCTATTTYCCCCCAAGAGCGCCTCAAGAGCGCCCCTGGGCAAATCCAACTATACTGCAAATGCTTACTTTGCGTAACGGCTGAGCCGCCCCTGATCTCACTCAGCATATTCAGCACTTTTTAATCTGTACCCATTACATTTGGCCCGGCCTAGTTTTTATTGTGTTATGGTGTACTGTTTTTACTGCTTACTGTTATTGCTTTAATGTTTTGATTTGCTTTTGGTTTATGTGTATTTGTTATATTGTTGTTCTATTGAGGCCTTGGCCTTTGTAAGCTGCATCAAGTTCTTCGGGAGATGTTAGTGGGGTACAAATAAAGATAATAATAATAATAATAATAATAACAACAACAACACTGTGGAGACTGAAGAAAGTGAGCTAAACATTGTACTACTGTTTGATATTAACTGTCATCAAAAACATAATAAGCTTAAAATACAAAACAGAGTAGGGAGCCAGTGTTGTTTTGTGAGGTTTTAGTGTTGGATGCTGACCAGGGTTTGACTGCCCGCTTAGCTTTGGAAAACCATTTACCTTTATCAAATCACACACTCTTAGTTTCAAAGGAAGGCAAACGCAAAAACCCTTTGAACAAATTTCACCAAGAAAACCTTGCAATAGGTTCAACTTAGGGTAGCTATAGGGTAGGGAACTTGAGGATACTTGAAACATGAACTTGACAGCAGAGAAAGACGGGAGAACCACCCCTTCGCAACGTTGTGTCCTCTGAGAGGCATAAAGCCAACAACACTTTATTAAAGCCTGAACAAAGACCCATGCGATCATGTTGAACGTACCTGGGCTTCAAGGTCTTCTCACGGATTCTCTCAGAACATCTAATTAGTCTATTATTCACTCCCTACATTCTCAACCCTAATCTAGCTTCTCAGGAAAACTCTCCATCAGATGAAGGCCACTTTCCAAGAGAACCGGTTTCACTTGAATGATCACAGGAATGCAAAACATCAGCCTCAACTGTCTGATATTTTCTCCTAGCACTGACTCATCACTTTGAAACCCATCAAATCCCTCGTCCTCTGACATGTCAGAAACATCCTTTGCCTCTTGCTGAGCTACAGCAATTTTTCTGCTGTGAATATTTGCAAACAAATAGTTCACAGTTACTGAGTATTCTCTGTTTACTCACTGGTGAGCCAGCCAGTCCAGTCTCCCCCTTTTCTCCTTTTGCTCCTGAGGTCCCCATGGAGCCAATTTCTCCCTTCATTCCTGGAGGTCCATCTTTTCCAGGAGGTCCTTTGGGACCAGGAGGCCCCATCTCTCCTGGTTTGCCTCGTGGGCCCTATAAAAGTTATGCAAAGATACAGAATGGGGGAGAATGCTGGCTCGAGAGCAGTACGCGTGAAAAAGATCTTGGAGTCCTCGTGGACAACAAGTTAAACATGAGCCAACAATGTGATGTGGTGGCAAAAAAAGCCAATGGGACTTTGGCCTGCATCAATAGGAGCATAGTGTCTAGATCTAGGGAAGTAATGCTGCCCCTCTATTCCGCTTTGGTTAGACCACACCTGGAATATTGTGTCCAATTCCGGGAACCACAATTCAAGAGAGATATTGACAAGCTGGAATGTGTCCAGAGGAGGGCGACTAAAATGATCAAGGGTCTGGAGAACAAGCCCTATGAGGAGCGGCTTAAGGAGCTGGGCATGTTTAGCCTGAAGAAGAGAAGGCTGATAGGAGATATGATAGCCATGTATAAATATGTGAGAGGCAGCCACAGGAAGGAGGGAGCAAGCTTGCTTTCTGCTTCCTTGGAGACTAGGACACAGAACAATGGCTTCAAACTACAAGAAAGGAGATTCCATCTGAACATGAGGAAGAACTTCCTGACTGTGAGAGCCGTTCAGCAGTGGAACTCTCTGCCGCGGAGTGTGGTGGAGGCTCCTTCTTTGGAAGCTTTTAAACAGAGGCTGGATGGCCATCTGTCAGGGGTGATTTGAATGCAATATTCCTGCTTCTTGGCAGGGGGTTGGACTGGATGGCCCATGAGGTCTCTTCCAACTCTTTGATTCTATGATTCTATATAACAGACCAATTTATCAGTGTCCAAGGGCCAGCTTTACAATAAAGGCCAAAGTCTTCAGATTATGTACTTGGCAACAGGCTCAATGATACATCAATAAATACAGTACATAGAAATGTCAGATGCATTAAAATCACATCAGTCAATAAAGTTGCTTCCAGATACATGATTCAAAAACTGGTAAAACTGGCATGGGCAAATTTCAGCCCTCCAGGTGTTTTGGACTTCAACTCCCACAATTCCTAACAGCTGGAAAGTTCAAAACACCTGGAGAGCCAAAGTTTGCTCATGCCTACTCTACAGTTATTCAGCCTTTCCTCCTTAAAATATTTTGTGTAGTAAAAGAAAAGAGGGAAGTAGTAGAAACAATGAGACGGTGAGAACAGGGAAAGGATGGTGACACTTGACCTTTGCCCCCACTTTTCAGCAGTCCTCCTGATTGATCTATTTACCTCCCTATCTATCTCTATCTAATCTAGCCATCTGGAGGATTGCTGGGAGTTGCAGTCCGGGAATAGGAAATTGGAAATATGCAGAGATTGGGATGCTCTCAAAGAAATCCAAGGAGAAGAAAGCTTGCATCTTGGAAGCAGTGCATTTGGATCATCCTCCTCTCCTAAAGGGCCTGGTGTAGGGGATGCTGGGAGCTGTAGTCCAGAAGCAAGTGTAGATATGCTATTGTGTGTTTTGATTGGGTGGGAGTCGTTTTTGCTCATGTGCTGTAGCATCTTTTTGCTTTTTTTGGCTTTTTAAGTCCCTTCCGTTGTGTTTTTTAGTGTTTTTATGAGTGATGGTCACTAATTGACCAGAGAGGTGTACTGTGTCCAAATTTGGTGTCAATTCGTCCAGTGGTTTTTGAGTTATATTAATCCCACAAATGAACATTACATTTTTATTTATATAGATGGCACTATAAAAAGTCTCATCTGAGAAGAGTGCTAGATGTTTAGCATTCCAATCCGAATCCCTTTTCCTTGGAAGTCTGAGCCATTAATTTTAACAAGCGGTCCTTTCCAGGTAATGGCTTAATCACAACTGTGTGACTAACTGCCTTTGGCAATTGTTCCCTCATCCGCCTACAGTTTTCACATTTGTGTAACTGAATGATGTATATTTCTCATCTCTGAAATTTACATTAAGAAAATAAATCTAACAAAGTACTGATAGTAAATTATGTTGTTTCAAGTTATCTTTTTATATTCTCAAACTGCAGCCATAAGATGTTGTGATAATTGCCATTTGAAATGATACTGGGAACTATTTTTGGAAGGTAGGTGTTGTAGTCCAGCGTGACAGTAGCATTGCTACTACTGGGAGAAGGGGGAAAAGGGCTGCTCAGGTGGAGGAGGAGGAACGGCAGCGTAAGAGGATTAGAGACATCTTAATGGCACCAACAGATTCGGAGGATTTCGAGGGTTTCTCGGAGTGTGAAATGGAGGATGGGGAGGAGAGCAGGGGAGTCAAGCGGTCTACTCAGGAACCCAATTGTGATGAGGAGTTACAGAAGAAGCGCATTCGGGATATACTTAACGCTCCCACATCTGATGAGGAATTCATGGGCTTTAATGGGAGTGATGGGACTTCGAGTGAGGATGAAGGGGAACAGGATTTAGACTGGACCCGTGTGCAGGAAATCAGGGACATTTGTGCACAGCCTACCTCGAGTGAAGAGTTTGAGGGTTTCACGAGTAACTGGCAACCTGGGAGTTCCTGGCAAGACCTAAGCCTTGACAGACGCTGGCAGCGATGGAGGGATGGGCAACAGAGCTCAGCTGTGGGGGATGAGGCAGCTGGAAGTAGTAATGAGGGAGAAGGGAGTTGCTCTTCTAGCGATAATGAGCTATGAGATATAAGTTGTTATGTTTGCAATAGACCTTTGCAGAAGGCAAAGTGTCTTATCAGTGTGTGTTGAACTTTGTTCCTGCCATTATTCTTGCTTTGGGTCCCGGGATTACAGATCATCGAGTTGCTGTGTTTATCCTGCTTTGTATCCTGTAAGTACGGACTGAATTCCTCCTGCTGACTACGGACTGTTTCCTGGATTTACGACATCATGCTGTGAACTTCTGGCTTCAACTCCTGAATGTGTTTTTTGACCTTGGATTACTTTTTCGACCTCGCTTTGTGTGATTTATCTTTGTGACTCTTGTTATCTACCAACATTGTTGGTTTCAAGCAGTTTGCTTCTGTTTCCGTTAACGCGGGTTATATTCCAGGATAATCCGGTTTATTTTCTACTTGAGTTTTTTACATAGCAGTTGCTATAGACTTTTGTTGCTGTTTGAGACACTGAAGTAAGTGTCCTTCAGCTTTGTTTGTTATCAATAAACCTGTGTTTGGCTCTTAACTCTGTGTCTGGCATTCTCGAGACTACTGGGTCTCTACAGTAGGTCTATCAGTGATTACTGCTCATGTCTAGATGGCTTCCAGGATAAGAAACAATATACCTTCATATATTAGTTGCTACAAAGCACACATAACCTGCATGTTGGCTGCATGTTTGAAAGTGAATTGCCATTTTAATATGATTGCTTCTTCAATTATACTTTGACTTCTTAGATTAGGGTTTTAGCTTTGTCTTGTTTTAGCATTACTCAGTGCCTTGAGACCCACGTCAGGAGAAAGGCAAGATATCAAACAAAAAAACAAAATTTTAAATAATTCAGATTTAAAAAAAAAAGATACAAGGGGTATTTTTTAAGTAAGGTCCGTTTTGTTGTAGACACTAGTAGTTCGCACGCATACCGCAACGAGCGCGTGCGTCGTGTACCGGCATGCCTTAGGAACAACTGTGCTCAGTTTCCGCTCTGTAGCTAACCTGTATGGTTCTGTTCTGTGCTTTAAAAATGTTTAAGACTATCAACTCACCCGCCGCATGTGAGGTTCGCTCAGTGATACGGTTTTTGTCAGCAAGGAACCTGCCTGCTGCAGAAATTCATCAACAGATTTGTGAATGTACGGTGATACTGTTATGAGTGAAAGCAAAGTGCGTAAGTGGGTACGACAATTCAAAGATGGCCGTGACAACGTCCATGATGAGGACCGCTCGGTCGCCCTTCTTTGATTACAGTGAACTCTTGGTTATCGGAGCAGGCAGCAAGTTTTTATGAAGAGGGTATTTTAAAATTGGTTCAGAGGTATGATAAGTGTTTGAACAAACTTGGCAACTATGTCAAAAAATAGAGTGAAGTATGTACTTTCTGAAAATAAATTTACTTTTTTGAAATAAACTTTCGTTGTGTACTTATGTTCCAACGGACCTTACTTAAAAAATACCCCTCATATATCTATTTTGTATTTTAAAATGGTATAAACCATTTTCTTTTGCAAAATGAGATCAACACAGGAAAAACACAGCACTTCAAACTCAAATGGCAGTAGGAGAGAAATGTGTTCTGGCAAAGGACAGCAGAAATAGAATAGCGGCAGCAACATTTTTTAAAAGGCCAACACCAGCAAAATAATAGGGAGAAACAATGCGTTAAATGTACAGGCAGTCCCCAAGTTATGAACAAGACAGATTCTGTAGGCTACAGAATCATCTGGGGCGGCCCTGCTCTCGATCCCGCCTTTGTCATAAGTACGGCTGGTGGGAACGAGAGACAGGGCCTTCTCAGTGGTGGCCCCTCGGCTATGGAATGCCCTCCCTAGAGATATCAGATTGGCCCCCTCCCATTTAACATTCCGGAAAAGAGTCAAGACTTGGCTTTTTGAGCAGGCGTTTGCAAACACAGTGTAACAGACACATCTTTGAGATCTTTGTGTCTTGAAAAGAGCACATCAGAGGGTGCCGCGGGAGAGAATTTTTTGGGCATCTGCTTCAGACTCCTGAATTTTTTCCCCGGTGGAATATTGGCTCTCTATTACAGTTGCTTTGCTAGCAGATGGAGATTTCTATACTCTGATAGGCTTTTCCAAACTGATCATACCATAATGTATTGTATTTTTACATTTTTGCCTTTTAATCTCATGGGTGTTAAAATAGTTTCAATTTTGTAGATAAAATTATTAATCAATAATTTCTTTTGTGTTTTACCTACATATCTTTTTATCTGCCTTTGTTTTAATATTGTAAATTGTTTTGAAATGCAATTTCTATCAAAAAAGCAGGAAAGAGAAAAAGACCCCAGTGATGACAATGTATCTTCATTCCTATATAAAACATGAAAATCTCCATGTGTACAACTGGTTATACATCTACATAGTGTGTGAATGTCTAGAGTGGGTGGGTGGAGACATATGCAGCAAGTGGGAGAGTATATCATTTTTTCTGCCACTTCCCCCATCCCTCCTTTACTGAAACGCCCTATTTGGAAAATGTGACCATAAATACACATTTTAAAGTTCTCCGTATTCTTCCATCTGTGTACTGCACTGAAGACAATAAGCCTATGTTTCTATGTAAATGTTTGTTACGATTTTTGGCATGCAAAGGTCTTCTATATTCAGAAGAACATTTGTATGAGTTGAGTTGCAAAGACATGGGCATAGAATCATAGAGTTGGAAAAGACCTCATGGGCCATCCAGTCTAATCACTTGCCAAGAATCAGGAAAATCGCATTCAAAGCACCCCCGACAGATGGCCACCCAGCCTCTGTTGCATGATAAGCTGAGCATTTACTGTAATGTTGGGTTTTTTTGGGTCCAACTTGGTAAAACATTCCACTGAAAACTAGTATCATTTGGCTCAACAGCTGCAATATCAGGTAAAGAGTGCCTAGCACTTTGAAAAACAGACCCATTAAAACATGGGTCTGTTTTTCTATTTCAGGGAAACACTTTAAACCAAGGGTCCTCATACTAAGGCCCAAGGGCCGGATACGGCCCTCCAAGGTCATTTACCCAGCCCACGCTCAGGGTCAACCTAAGTCTGAAATGACTTGAAAGCACACAACAATCCTATCTCATCAGCCAAACACAGGCCCATACTTCCCACTGAAATACTAATAAGTTTATATTTGTTAAAATTGTTCTTCATTTTAATTATTGTATTGTTTTAAAGTGTTTTTTACATTACAAATAAGATATGTGCAGTGTGCATAGGAATTCATTCATGGTTTTTTTTTTCCAAATTATAATCCCGCCCTCCAACAGTCTGCGGGACCGTGAACCGCCCCTCTGGTTTAAAAGTTTGAGGACCCCTGCTTTAAACCAAGAATGTGATTAAGGCCTTTGTAATGGCAACTCCAGTTCCAAAGAACACAGAATTGTATTTTCAATAAATTGACGCTGTGATTCAGCTCTTTGACTTCTGCTTGCTAATTCCTACCTTTTCTCCATCATGTCCAGGAGGGCCTGGCAGTCCAATTTCGCCCTAAGGAGTGGAAATCAATGGAAAGCGAGAGAGAGAAAGAGAGAGAGAAAGAAAGGCTAAGAACAATTTCACCAATTTATATTTGGAACTTTAGAGCTGACACGAAAAACAAGGAGAGAAGAACAGCTTGGTTGGTACAGTGGTGGAAAAAGTATTTAGTCAGATATCAATTGTACAAGTTCTCCCACTTAAAAAGATGAGAGAGGCCTGTAATTGACATCATAGGTAGACCTCAACTATGAGAGACAACATAAGAAAACACATCCAGAAAATCGCATTGTCTGATTTTTAACGAATTTATTTGCAAATTATGGTGGAAAATAAGTATTTGGTCACCAACAAACAAGCAAGATTTCTGGGTCTCACAGACCTGTAACTTCTTCCTCTGTCCTCCACTCATTACTTGTAGTAATGGCACCTATTTGAACTAGTCACACTCCAAACTCCACTATGGTGAAGGCCAAAGAGCTGTCCAAGGACACCAAAAACAAAATTGCTACCCTGCACCATACTGGGAAGACTGAATCTGCAATAGGCAAGCAACTTGGTGTGAAAAAATCAACTGTGGGAGCAATAATTAGAAAATGGAAGAGATACAAGACCATTGATAATCTCCCTCGATCTGGGGCTCCACGCAAGATCTCATCCCGTGGGGTCAAAATGATCACAAGAACGATGAGCAAAAATCCCAGAACCACATGGGGGAACCAAGTGAATGAACTGCAGAGAGCAGAGACCAACATAACAAAGGCTACCATCAGTAACACACTACGCCGCTGCCAGGGGCTCAGATCCTACAGTGCCAGACATGTTCCCCTGCTTAAGCCAGTACATGTCCGGGGCAAACTGAATTTTGCTAGAGAGCATTTGGATGATCCAGAAGAGTATTGGGAGAATATCATATGATCAGATGAAACCAAAGTAGAACCGTTTGGCAGAAACACAACTCATCGTGTTTGGAGGAGAAAGAATGCTGAGTTGCATGCAAAGAACACCATATCTATTGTGAAGCATGGGGGTGGCAACATCATGCTTTGGGGCTGCTTCTCTGCAAAGGGACCAGGGTAACTGGTCCGTATACATGAAAGAATGAATGGGACCATGTATCATGAGATTTTGGGTGCAAACCTCTTTCCATCAGCAAGGGCACTGAAGATGAAATGTGGCTGGGTCTTTCAGCATGACAATGATCCCAAGCACACAACGAAGGAGTGGCTTCGTAAGAAGCACATCAAGGTCATGGAGTGACCTAGCCAGCCTCCAGATCTCAACCCTATAGAAAACCTTTGGAGGGAGTTGAAAGTCCATGTTGCCCAGTGACAGCCCCAAAACACCACTGCTCTTGAGGAGATCTGCATGGAGGAATGGGCCAACATACCAGTAACAGTGTGTGCCAACCTTGTGAGGACTTACAGAAAAGTTTGACCTCTGTCATTGCCAATAAAGGATATACAGGGTGAGGCAGCATAACTTCCTTTTTTAAAATGAGCACCATTCCGTCGGTCGAAGACGTAGCGGAGTATAAAGTTTTGTTCTGACACAGTTCAGTCGCCATCATGCGCTGGAACAGTGAGGAGCGTGCTTTTGCCGTTGAGGCCTACTTTTCGAGCGGATTTGGAGTGGCCGGCCCGCTCTCCAAATTTGGCCCCTTGTGATTTTTTTCTATGGGGTTTTTTGAAATCCCGTGTTTATGTGAACCGTCCAAGGACCCTACAAGATTTGAAGACCAACATCCAGGAAGAAATTGCCAACATAACACCTGCTATGATGGCAAGAGTCATGACAAATGCCAGAAATTGGTTTACTCAGTTTATGAAGAATAGGGGGGGGGGGGTGTCACCTACCTAATTTGATCTTCAAAACTATGTAAAACAAAACTTTAGGTATGTTCCTACATTATAAAAAAAATTCTGATTCATACAATGGGTTTTATTAAGTTTTGAAAAAAAGGAAGTTATGCTGCCTCACCCTGTATAACAAAGTATTGAGATGAGCTTTCGTTATGGGCCAAATACTTATTTTCCACCATAATTTGCAAATAAATGCATTAAAAATCAGACAATGTGATTTTCTGGATGTGTTTTCTCATGTTGTCTCTCATAGTTGAGGTCTACCTATGATGTCAATTACAGGCCGCTCCCATCTTTTTAAGTGGGAGAACTTATACAATTGGTATCTGACTAAATACTCCCCCCGCCCCTACTGTATATTTGGTGAAGGATGGTAAAGTTTGGTGGGATAAAGAGGAAACAGTAATGTTTAAGAGACTATTATTAATTACCATGTCAGACCTTGAATATTTATTTCAATTAACTGTAGTTTAGTAGTTCAATAAGAGAACAGCTAGACTGCATCCTCCTTGAATATTATCATCCAATAGTTCTTATGATCAGACATCTAACAACTTTCTGTATCAGTTTCCTGATGCAGGGGAAGATGAGCAGCCGTGGCCATTCTTGCTCCTTCAGACTGTTTCTTTCCACCTGTTTTTTGGCATGTTTGGAGTCAGTAAGGGGAAGGAGGAGGTCTGGATGGGTGGATGATGTCACCAGGAGGAGATCCTAAGGCAACATTGATTTCTGCTGTTTTGGGAAAACTCTGGGAACCAAACTGGAAATCTCATCCCCATCACAAAAAAATGGTGCTTTAGGAGTGTATCATTTCATGTTACATTTCAAAGAGAGAGTCAACTCAGGGTTATCCAATTATGAATCAACATTTCCACGGTAAGACTAACAGTGAGGAAATGCAGCCTGTTCCTTCCAGCTGTGTTTTAGTGTCCACCACATCCATCCAAATGTTAATGGTATGTAACTAAAAGCGGCAATTATAGTTCAGGCCCTTCATTTTGTGCTTTCTTTGTGACCTCTGGGAATGAAGTAATTGCTTATCCCTGCCATAGCATGGTACAACCATTAGATATAAAACATGTTTTAAAATGTATCACAGGGGTGGGTTTGTGCATATGCTATTTTCGAAGTAATTTTCCTGAGGTAGCCTCATTTTATAGCCAGGTGTAACTGCCATCTCTTGTTGTATGCCATGTGCATTTATTTATCTCAGGTGTAGCAACTATGGGGATACTATAGTATCTACCAGAGGATTTAGAATGCAGCTGGCTGTAACTGAGGTGGTTGAAAGCTGCTGGTTTTAGGACACACCTAAGTATATTTTAATTTTCTTTTTTTATGAAACATTTTCCCAATTACCAGAATATATAGGGTCAAATAGCAAGATGATATCCCTCTTACATGCTAGTTTCTGGGTCTGAGACAAGACCTATCTGGAAGGATAGAGCAACAGAAACCAATAAAAGCTAGCATGGAGGGCAAGAAGATAAGTCAGTTTTTATTACTCTGAAAGTATAAAATGTCAGTGGTAAGGAGAAGGAAGAGAAGTTTATAACAGCATTTTTAAACTTGGTTTAAAAAGTACCGTATATTCCGGGGTACTAGACGACTGGGGCTATAAAACGACCCCCCAACTTTTACATACAGGGATATACTCGCCGTTTAATACGACTCCCCAAACCAGCCAGGTGGTTTCTGTCCTTGGGCCTCTGGGCTGCTTTCTACGCCGCCTCCAGAAGAACCTCCCGCGCTGCTCAGGCCGCTCTCCTTCTTCCTGGCCAGGCCTCGCGCAAAGCGCCTCTTCTCCAACGAGACAATGTTGTCTCGCCTGAGAAGAGGTGCTTCTTGCAAGGCCTGG